CGCCGGCCGCCACCCGCGGAATCTGGGTCAGCGGCGCGTCCCCGCACGGCGGGGTGAGTTCTGGGACCGGTCGCGGTGACCGGAGAGGTGGGGAAGCGGACACGAGGCGTCATCCGCTCCGTCCCTCCCCCACTTCCCCCCGCCGCCGCCGCCGCCGGGAACGATGTTCGGTTTTCGGCGTGTGGCGTGGTGTGGCGGCCACAACTCGGGATTTGATCCGTGGACGGGAGATGGGGGTCGTGGCTCCCCAGGTGGGCCCGGCGGAACTGCAGGACGGCGCTCTCGCGGCGGTCTCCCTAGTTAAAGAGTCGGGCTTGGGAGGGGCCGCGTGAGGCGGGGACGCAGTCAACTTTTCGGGGGTCCAGTGGGAGGCGTTTCCGTGTCAGCCTCGCGGGCTCTTCCTCGGCCTCACCCAGCCGGGGCGGAGGCCGCGGGAAACGCTGGCTCGGGCCGGGCCGGGGACACCCTCTTTCCTATGTGGAGTCCCTGCTCGGTGTGGGATCGCGGTGGGTAGGGGCGGCAGGTCTGCAGACCGGGGAGCACAGCCGGCCCGGCCTCGCGCTCGTGGTCAGGAGGCTGGGAACTAGAGTCTGGCTAGTTAGCCACTCTGGAAACAAGCCTTAGGATTGGAAGAAGACGGATCTATCTATCTATCTATCTATCTATCTATCTATCTATCTATCTATCTATCTATCTATCTATCTATCTATCTATCTATCTATCTATCTATCCAATCTACAAATCTGGGTGCGAGCAGCACCAACCCGCGGAAAGGATCCAAGGATCCGTAGGGTCTGCCAGGCTCTTGGCGTTCAGTGTGCGGAGTGGGAACTCCACATCTTTTTGTACTTTTTGGGGGGTGGGGTGAGGGAAAGGGATCTTTCTCTGAAATTGGCGGGGAGCGGGAGGAAGAAATAGTCTTTGACATCAAGGGTTATCCAAGAGAGAATTTGTTGGCTCCTGCTTATTTCTTGGGGTTTTGGGGGGTAGGGGGAGAGAGAGAGAAAAAAAACACCCTCAAACACTTTAAAAGCTATTTCTTAGAATCATACATTTCAATTAAAAAAAAAAGTCTTTGGGTGGAAAAATGGATTCCCCTCCCTCCCCGCCCCCCTGACTCCTTTACGGTAGTCATTTCCTTGCCAGTTTTAGGGATTGCAGGACCTTGCCTGTTTCTCAGGCTCCCTCTGCCTCCGATGTGGTGTAATAACGGTCTCATATTTGTGTAGACAGTTTACAAAGCACTTGTCGAGTTTATTTACTTTTCTCTTTTGGACAAACTTGTAAGGTGGGTTGTATTGTTCTAGAATCCAAATTAGCAAACGGAGTTTCAGGGTAATGAAGTGATTTACTCAAGTGGAAGAACTGGTTTTCTGACAGCAGATCTAATAGCCTTGCCAATGAGCTCAAAATACTGGGAATAGAAAGACTTAAGAGTCAAGGCACAGCTTTGTCACACACTAATTATGTGACCTAAGGCAAGTCACTCTTGCTTTCTGGACCTTGGCTTCGGCATCTCTAAAAGGGAGATCATGATGCTATCTATCTCCGTTCACTGAAACAATTCTATCCAAGTCATACTCAAATAGAGAAGATGGCTGCCCTTGTTGCGACTTTTTAGCACCTAAGTAAACATTTTTGTATTGGGATAAAGAACCAGAGTCTCTTGCCTCCCTCTTAAATCCATTCAGACTCACACAAGTTAAATGTCTGCTGCCACTCTGGCCTTATAGGGAATTTAGTCTTTCTTTCTCCAAGAGTGGGAAAAAGCCCACAAAATTGCTACTAGAGTGGCAAGAAGAAATAACATTTTGTCAAGGATGTATTGTTCTAGGTGATATTGTTTGGCCTCAGATAACACTGAGAAGCTGGGTTGATTTGGGAGCGAGCTTGCTGACTTTTCTTCGCGGATGGTAACAAAGTTTTCCTGAGTTGTGGCATTTATAACCAGAGATAAGGAGGTTTAAAGTTAAAAAATAATGATAAAAGTTTCCTCCCTCCCTATACTTTAGGATTGCCCACAGAAATCTTTTCTCTGTAGCTTTGGTGTCCTCTACGTGCATAAATGTCTTCATTACCGGTGCACAAACTTGATTCACGTGGGACTTTTTTCAAAGTCTTGCTTATTTATTTAGCCCATCCTGGGGCTGGAATTCTATGCCTGGGCACCATCCTTGTGGCCTTTTTGCTCAAGGCTAGTGCTCTATCATTGGAGCCACAGAGCCACTTCTGGCTTTTTCTGAGATTAATTGGAGATAAGAGTCTCTGGACTTTCCTGCCTGGCTGGCTAAGAAACTTGATCCTCAGATCTCAGCCTCCTGTGTAGCTTAAGATTATAGGCTTGAGTCACCACATTCCTCCCTGTTTATTTTTGTGCTATCCCTTTTTTTTTTTTTTGCTCAAGACTAGCACAGCTCTACTTTCCTTCCTTCCTTCCTTCCTTCCTTCCTTCCTTCCTTCCTTCCTTCCTTCCTCCCTCCCTCCCTCCCTCCCTCCCTCCCTCCCTTCTTGCTTGCTTGCTTGCTTGCTGTTTATTGGAAGTTAGAGTCTCATGAACTTTCTTACCCAGGGTTATTATTATTATTTTATTTTTTGGTGAGTTGTGGGGCCTGACCTCTGGGCCTGGGCACTGTCCTTCAGCTCTTCAGCTCAAGGCTAGTGCTCTACCACTTGAGCCACAGCACCACTTCCAGCTTTTTCTGCTTATGTGGTGCTGAGGAATCAAACCCAGGGCCTCATGCATGCAAGACAAGCACTCTACCACTCAGCCACCTTCCCAGCCCCACCCAGAGTTATTTTTTAACTGTGTTCCTCAGATCTCTGCCTTCAGAGTTGCCCAGGCTACAGGTATGAGACACTAGTGCCCCCCCTTTCCCCTAAGGAAATTAACTGGAGATGAGTCTCATAGACTTTCTTATCCAGGCTGACTTCAAACTGAGATCTGAGGATCTCAGCTTCCTGAGTAGCTAGGATTATAGGTGGCGTGAACCACCAATACCCAGCCAGTATTTTTAATGTCTCGGCGATTTAAAGCATATTAGGTTGAACATGTGAGGCGGTTTGCTTATAGTGAGGACTAGATTATGTTTCAATTTTGAAGGGGAATGAATATATAAGTAGATTTTGTTTTGTGTTTTGAGATGTGGTCTTGCTGTGTTGCTCAGGCTGGCCTCAAACTTGAGGTCTCAAGTGATCCTTCTCTTTCCATTCCTTGAATAGTTAAAACTACAAATGTGTAATACTGTACTGAACCTGGCTTAGGGGTCTTGTTTCTTTGAGACAGGCTTTAATCCTATAGCCTAGACGGGTCTAGAACTTACTTTGTGGTTCAGTCTGGCCTAAAACTTGTAATGTATCTTCAGAGTGCTGGAATTGTAGGTGTGAGCCACCACACTAACTTTGGGTTTGTTATTGTTGGTCTTGCGGCTTGAACTCAGGGTCTGTGTACTGTCCTTGAGCTCTTTTGCTCAAAGCTAGTGTTCTACAACTTTGAGCCACAGCGTCACTTCCATTTTTCTGGTGATTAATTTGGAAATTAGAGTCTCATGGACTTTGAACTGGTTTTGAACTTCAATCATTAGATCTCAGCCTCCTGAATAGCTAGGATTACCAGTGCAAGTCACTAGTGCCCAGATGAGTTTGGTATTTTAATATTCACAGTTTCAGAGTGTCAAAGCCCAGTTCTATTACTAAACAGATTGCAAATTAATCATTAAAGTGTTCCTTTCCTTTTACAGGTAACAGAGTTAGTCCTTGATAATTGCCTGTGTGTCAATGGGGAAATTGAAGGCCTGAATGACACTTTTAAAGAACTAGAGTTTCTGAGTATGGCTAATGTGAAATTAAGTTCACTGGCCCGGCTCCCTAGCTTGAATAAACTTCGAAAGGTAAGTTGAAATGAATCAGAAAGTATCAAGATTTCAATGTGAAGGCTCTTATATTTACTTCTTAGCCACTGAAACAACCATTTTGCCTGTTTGAAAGAGGAGTTTTCGTCTAATACTGAGTCTGTTTATCTGTATTGGTTCTGAGGCTTGAGTTCAGGGCCTGGGTGCTGTTCCTAAGCTTTTTGTTTAAGGCCCACACTCTATCACTTGAGCCACAGTACCACCTCCAGCTTTTTGGTAGTTTATTGAAGATAAGAGTCTCACTGATTTTCTTCAGTGTTTCTTTGAACAGCAACAATCCTTAGCTCTCAGCTTCCTGAGTAGCTAGAATTACAGTGGTGTGCAGCTGGCTCTAATACTGCTTTTATTTAATTTGCTTTTGTTGGTTCTGGGATATGATACTTTTAGGAATTTAAATTTATTAATGCAGTTGTTATATGGCAAAAATTTGGATTTAACATCTACCAAATATTTTTCTCTGTATCATGCAATCTAAATGTAACGTAGAAGAAGTCCATCAGTATAGGGGTTCTAATGTGTTACATGCCATATGTAGATGGGAATTTGGAAATTGATGATTTACAGTGGCAGTCTTTTGAAACAGAGAATACACATGTTTTTCTTCAAATTTGTGTCTTTGTAAAATGTTGGAGCCATCTTAAGCCTTCATTATTTGTTTTTATTCTTTTTTTCCTCACTCCATGTTGAATACATAGTTGGAACTTGGTGACAATATAATTTCTGGAGGTTTGGAAGTCCTGGCAGAGAAATGTCCAAATCTTACCTACCTCAATCTGAGCGGAAACAAAATCAAAGACCTCAGTACTGTGGAAGCTCTGGTAAGTTTTTCAGAGATTTGGTTTCTGTTTTTCTAATTTACATTCAGTTCTTGAAAAAAAATTTTTTTGGTCAATTGTGGGAGTTGAATTCTGTGCTTGGGCGCAGTCCCTGCGCTCTTCAGTTCAAGGCAAGTGCTCTACCTTGTGAGCCACAGCGCCACTTCCAGTTTTCTAGTGGTTTATTGGAGATAAGAGTCTCACCGACTTTCCTGCCCCGGCTGGCTTTGAACCTCAATCCTCAGATCTCAGCCTCCTGAATAGCTAGAATTACAGGTGTGAGCCACTAGGTGCTAGTTCTTAATTTCTGAATCTCTTTATGTTCTAATCTAGATGGTTACTGCTTTTCTTTTCCCTTAGAATACAATATCAAGCCAGTGTTGGAATCCCAGCATTTGTAAAGTTCAATTGGAGGATCATGAATTTGAGCCATCCTGTGCTTGCATAGTGAGAATCTGTCTTAAAAAAAAA